AGCATTGGAATGATACACAGACTCTATAGGTCCTAACTTCTGCATAGGTGTTGAACAGGCTCTTATGACTCAGCCTCAGCACCAATGCCCAGTTTTCAGTCCAGTGCTCTCACCATCATTCCACCTCTTAGCCATACTCTGCCATGTGCTGTGTGATTTATTTTCCAGTCAAGAGAAAGTCTTGTGTATAGCCCAAACCTCAGCCCCCTGCGTACCAGGTTACAGGGCTGTTGACCTCCTGTGGCTCACCTTTTGTTTTTTTTAAACACTAACCTCATACTCTGCCTCAACTCCTCCCCACATTTGCAGTCTTTGCAGTTTGGGTTCTGTTGTTGTTTCTCTGCCGTCTCTCGCTTATAATAGAGTATTTCCCTTGTGCTTAATGGTTTTTAAAATTATGAACCTAGGTTCTCTGCACGCTAATTAGTTGGAATTCTCTGTGGTTGGATTTGAAGTGCATTCTCCCAGAGAAGATTTGCTTTTTCATACTTCTGGAAGCCTGGGAGGATGATGGGCTTGAGTCCATTTTAATCCCCTTGGAGCAACCATAAAATCCAGGAAGCTGACAAAATCAGTTTCCCATCCACGCTTCCCCTTCCTCCTCCATCAGTCTGGGCTCTTGCCCTAGTCCTGGGGTAGATATTTGTTCCAGGGAAAGCTTGGCTTCCTGATTCACCCACTGCTCACATTTCAAGTTATTTTTTAAAATGATAGGTTGGGATGGGTGGGTACATGCTTGTCTTTGTGGGTCACTAAGATCGCCCCTTGTTTTATTTTTTAGGGGAATGTGTGTGATGATGCGTGTGCATGAGTGTGAGGCCCATTCTAGGATCAGAGCACAGCTTTGGTTCTTCCATTCCACCAGGGTTCCGGGGATCAAACTCAGGCTGTCAAGTTTGCACAGTAAGAGTCGGTTTCTCTAGCCCTCCCCATGCTTCCTAGTGAACTCAATGCCTTTAAAATCCGGATGATGCACAGTATCTGTCATCATCTGTATTATAGTCAGGGAATCTGCTTCTAAATGTGTCTCCCTTGCCACCTGGTCAAAAGTGCAAGCCTCTCTCTTGCCTATCTCTGCTTGTGGTTGCTTTGGTAGGAAAGCATTATACTGCCTCGGGTCCCTACTTCTGTAATCTTTATGTTAATTCTGTCTGCTTTTCACACTTGGCAAGAGGTCAGAGTAGATTTTAAACCCATGGGTACCAGATAATTCAGCGGTTCTCAACCTTCCTAATGCTGTGACCCCTTAATACAGTTTTCCTCGTGTTATGGTGGCCACCAACCATAAAATTATTTTTGTCTCTACTCCACAACTGTAATTTTGCTACGGTTCTGAATCATAATGTAAATATCTGTGTTTTCTGATGGTCTTTGGTAACCCACAGTGGGGGTAACCTATGCTATTTAAGTAGGATGGAACAAATAATTAGCTGTAAGAAGAACAGTAATGAGCATAGGCTGTACCTCAGCTTCCTAGTTACAAACATTGTTTTTGGCTTGAACTACTTCGAGATTTCACTTGCTTTCTTTGTCGTGTAGTTGAAAAAAGTGGACAGTTTCCAGGTTTGAGATTGAGAGCACATGACTTTGTTGGGCCTATAGTTTAAACTCCTAGGGGCCTGATAAAATCAAGTGACTTTCATTTATGCTAATCTGTGGTCACCGTGAAGATTATGACTTATAAATTCAGCTAACGCTGAGAAACTGCAAGCATTTCAACTATATCAAATGTTAACTTGAAAGAATGGCTTTTGGTTTTGGTTTTGCCTTGGGGGCAGAAACCGTAGTTAGAAATACACCTTCCAACAAGTTCAGGATCGCTGGTTTTATTTATTTATTTATTTTTGTGCGCATTTGGTGTCCTGTAGTGACAACTCCCTGCAGCAGGAGGCACTTGACACCAGCTCAGTGCAGCTGGCCTACACCATCGTGAGTCACTTTGCGCCAAGTTATTAATAATTGAAGGAGCTTGTCACTCCCTGCAGAGTCTGGTGTGTAATTTATGGATTATAAACCTATGCTGAAATCTCAGAGAAAGTTAATTTCATTAAGTAAGAATGAGATCCAGCTGTATTCCAGTTCTCACGCCCTAAAGGTGTGCCAATGTGCCTGTCTCCAGCCAGAAGGTTCTGGCTGTGTTTGTACTGGTTCCCTGTCTACACAATATACATCCTTCTAGGGACTTTGGGGAGGTGTTTAAAGTTCCAGTTGAACCATCTAGTTTTGGGTTTTTTGTTTGTTTTTGTGACGAGTTTCTCTGTGTAGACCCAGCTGCCCTAGAACTCTCAACACTCTCTCACTTATTCTCTCTCTCTCTCTCTCTCTCTCTCTCTCTCTCTCTCTCTCTCTCTCTCTCTCTCTCTCTCTGTAAACTAGGCTGTCCTCAAACTCACAGAGATCTGTCTGCTTAAAGACATGCTCCACTGATGCCCTGCCTGAACCATCTAGGTTTGAGTACTAACAAGACTAGTATTCTGCTATGGGAGGGGTCTTGGGAGTCTCTACGATCTTATCTGTAGATGGCTGAGCTGGATGATAGTTCAAGCCGGGTGTGCAATCAATACCATTGGCAAGCTGTTTCTGTGTAGTCCCCTCCATAGCACAGGATCGTCGAGCATAGAACACACTTTTCGGCTCGCCCTCAGGAGAGGGCGTCCACTTAGAACACTAAGTCATCAGGCTTGAAGATGGTCTTTCAGGGTGTCCTCTCTGACATTTTCCTATCCACCTTCAAACTTTTCATTTAAAAAAGGGAACTTGGTTCATTAACCAGACTCACTAAACTAGACAGTAAGTCGGTAGGCCTTTGCCCTACTTCCGGCACAGTCTCCTGGTTTTCTCTCCTCTGGTGTTTGCTCAGCCAAGGGCCATAGTCTCTGACCTCTTCTACTGAAGTTGTGCCTAAGTCCCAGATTATTGTAAACCTTAGAATCTGGGGCTGGGAGATGGCTGATCAAGTAAAGGTACTTGCTCAGTAAGCCTGACAACATAAGCATGAGCCCTGGAACCCATACAAAGCAAGAGGGAAAGAAGGCCTCCATAAAGTTGCCCTCTGACATGTTTGTGCCCACACACACTGAATACTTTTAAATAAGGGTTCATAAAGGAATTGATTCGTTAAAAGCCAACCCCAGCCCAATTCACTTTTCCAAATGTGTTTGGGTTCTCTAAGAAACTGTTTCATACTTTAATAGAATTTTGGTTTTTTGTTTCACAGTATCTATGCTCAACAAAAAAAAGATCCGGAAAAACATATATGACATGTTTTTTTTTTTTTTTAATCTGCTTTTGATAAATATTGAGAGCTAGCTATACAACTAATCATATTTCTCATACATACTTGGTAATACTCCCCAGTAATCTGTGCTAGCCATAGTTATGCATCCCAGGCACAAGCCAGGAAAGGGAACCTACGGGGTGCGGCTGAGGAGGGCGGGCCCTAAAGTTCAGGGCCGTGTCCTGAAGTGAGCCCTTGATGGATTCATGTCCTAGGACTTCTCGTCTCTAGGCTGGGTCCCATCTCCTTCTGACAGGAAGAAAATGAAACTCTCCAGGAGATGTACTCAGTGATACTGGAAAGTGGGACCTCTTGGCAGGAGAGGGAGTTAGGAAAAGACAGGAAGGGAGCAGAGATCCTTCCTCTGAGCCACCAGGTGCACCATCACATCTCATCATGCCTTTTTTTTTTTTTTGCTAGAATGTTCCCTGCACCCCCATTCCTTCACCCTTTGTCTATAAGTAGCCTGTACCTCCTGCGTTCACCCATCCCTCAGACTTCCACCTACCCTGAACATCTGCTGTGTGCCAGGCACATCAGGAAGGCAACAGAAGGTGGGCACAGTCCCCTCCCTACTTCCCAGTGAGGAGACATAGGGTGATCAGTGGCCTCCCAGACAGAAAGATACACAACACAAAACGTGGGCGCTGGGAGAGCCAGTGAGAAGTTTTAGCCAAGGAGCCATGCTATAGGGAATTGCAGGAGAGCGCTGGTTCAAGTAGTGCAGCCGAACACTTAATCTTTTGGTTTAAATCTCAACTCTGTCTTACTAGGTGGCTTTAGTAAGTCGCCAAACTATGTAGCACTCACTTCTCACCCACGTGAAATAAGGAGGCTACAGCCTACTTGATGGAGGGAGTTCAACAGGTCATCTGTTGGTGGAGAGCTCACGGAACAGTAACTTACCTGCCTCCCTTCCATGAACCAGCCCTGACTTCTGTTTTGTTAGACGCTAGAATCTTCATTAACAGCTCCCCTGGGTCCTCTCTGAGGTGACATCCCCTCTCTTACACGCTCAGTGACATCAGCAGGTTGAGTGAGTAGCTGTCACCACAAGGCAGGACTCTCTGCTGCGTTTTGTAGTTAGTTAGCCTTCTGACAAATGCCGCCTCATGCAGCAGTTCCAGAAAAGAATATGCCTTCCTCTCAAAGACGCCCAGCGAGCATCGAGCATCAAGCATCGGCCGGTGGTGTATCACTCCACGGTGCTGGGCCTAGTGTGTAGAAGCCAGATCCCTCTGCAGTCACCTCACAGTATTGTTTGGACAGCTCAGCCACGTCAGCAGGGGTGCAGAGGGATAAGCAGGAAAGACAAGGGTGGTGAAGGCGTGGGTGTAATGATTTCACTAGACCCAAAATAAATGATAAATGGGTGTTTATTGGGGGATACTTACACAGAAAAATGTAAAGAACCACCGGGAGGGCTTCTCTATCCTTCCTAACGGGTCAGCTGACCCAAGAAAAAAAGACCACACGAAAGGAAGCCACGCCTCAAGCTTCCCTCTTTCCTCTTCCTTCCGCCTGAAGCCACGCCCAGAGGGGTGTGGCCACCGTTAACAGGTTCACGGGCGAGACCACTCCAGGGAGGGGATCAGGGTTCAATCTGCAGAGCTCATGCACCTGTTAGCCATGTTTTGGGATGGCTAGCAGTGTTTGCAGCAGCCCAGCTTCCCCCAGGCTTCGCCAGAGAAGATGTAATTTGTTATTTCCTCTCCATCTGCAGGAATAGCATCAGCAGTTGCCGGATGCGGACTGAGAGTGAGCCGCCGTGTGGCTCCCCAGTGGTCAGTGGTGACCCCAAGGAGGATCATAACTACAGTAGTGCCAAGTCCTCCAATGCTCGAAGCACCTCTCCCGCCAGCGACTCCATCTCTTCCTCCTCCTCCTCCTCAGCTGACGACCACTACGAGTTTGCCACCAAGGGGAGCCAGGAGGGCAGTGAGGGAAGCTTCCAGAGCCATGAGAGCCACAGTGAGACCGAGGAGGATGACAGGAAACCCAGCCAGAAGGAGGCCAAGGATGCCCTGGGGGACAGCGGATACGCATCCCAGCACAAGAAGCGACAGCACTTCGCCAAGGCAAGGAAGGTCCCCAGCGACACACTGCCCCTCAAAAAGAGACGCACAGAAAAACCCCCTGAGAGCGACGATGAGGAGATGAAAGAGGCGGCCGGTTCGCTCCTGCACTTGGCAGGGATTCGGTCCTGTTTGAACAACATCACCAATCGGACGGCCAAGGGGCAGAAAGAACAAAAGGAAACCACAAAAAACTGAAACAAGTCTCTGATTTGTTTTGAACTTACGGCCATTTGGTTTCAGCATGTCAGGAGATTTCTAATGATTTGTGGCAATATCAGCAATTTTTTCCTTTTCTCTTTTTCCTTTTGTTGGTTTGGTTTTCTTTTCTTTTCTTTCTTTTTACTTTTTTTTTTAATTTGCCCCCCACTCCTTTGGTTTTGGACCCTTAAGAATTTTATGTTTAAAGGAGATTGAAGCCATAGAACTCATATTGACACTCAGCCGTTTTACAAAAGCTTTTCTTTATCTGAAGACAAAAGCCGAAAGGAAAAAAAAAAAAGCCAAAATTAACCATTGCTTCCTGCAGCCTGTCAGAAACCTGTGGCTGAACCCACAGGGATGTCAACATTAATGTCACAGGAACGAACATTCCTGTGCCACCTAAGAGGCACGCATGCAGAATTACCATGCTCAGGCCAACCGTTAGGTTTAAAAAGTCAGTGTGTTCAGAGTGATGAAACTGGGGAGCAAGTGCAGAGACTGAAGAGCCCCGTGTGCCCCTCGGAACAGTGTCCCCTAAGGGTAACACCATGCTCTGGCACTGGCATCCCACTGTGCCAGAAACGCCAATGGCATTGCCATATAGCGAGTCCAGGGCTCTGCTGCCAGTCGTCTGTACTTCTTAAACCTGAACCTGGAGGAGAGACAGGGAGAATTCTTAGAGCCATTGCTAACCACTGAATTCTGCTCTATGTTAAATTAAGAAGACTTTCCAAAAGCCATAAGCCTGAAGGTTGGCCTGCGCACACGCACACCCGCGTGCGTGCATGCACACATGCGCACACCCACACACGAGACTTAAAGCTGATACAGAAAACAGGCTGTGTCCTTTTAACTCAAGCCCAAGACATGACAGTAGCTGTTAAGAAAGGAAAAATGGTACAGATTCTTTCCCATCTAAACAATCTGATCCAAGTTTGGGGGAGGGGGGTGCTACAGAAACTGCCATTAGTATTGTGGTGTCTTTTTAAGAGGTTAAAGGCACATTGATGGACATGAAAAGCAAAAACATGGTAAACAATACAACTCCTACACTGCCCTCAAAAAGGGCTTGCAATTAATGTCAGGACTCATTTTTTTTGCAAAAAAAAAAAAAAAAAATCAGTGATTTTTCACATTCAGCCAGTGTAGCCAGCAGAAATTTCTGATCCACGATGCATGGATTCCTTTGAAGAGAAAAGAAAAAGAAAAAAAGAAAAAGAGAAAAAAAAAACACAAAAACAAACTTTTTTTATTCAAAAATAACAAAGTTCTTGTAAGGTAAATACTGTATTTAGCATGAAGCATGAATTATTTTCATATAAATATAGAAATAGAGAGAAGGCTATGCCTCTAATTTTTAAGCCCTTAGGCTTAGAGGTTCTTTTGTTCTTTTTTTCCTTTTTTTTTTTTCTTTTTCTTTTCCTTTTTTTTCTTTCCTTTTTTGTTGTTGTTACTTTGTTTTGGTTTTTTGAAGCAGGTGTTTAAGGTTTAATCTTCAGGGACAAACTCTGACTGTTGGGGAACTTACTCTGCAATATAAATTATCTTCATACTCTGGTAGGGCTTGGATGGTTGAGCTCTGTACTGCCTTGTCCGCACTCAGCCCCGACCCCCTCTGACTCTCTGCTGAAGAGTGTGTCCTTCCCTTTGTCTGTATGTGTTTAACGTGACGCAATAATTCGAGGGCAAACTTAGTAGTGTGTATGATAGAGTCAAGAGAATGAAGGGACGCTTACTTGAGAAAAATCATTTCCGTGATTTGGTTCTAGGAAAAAGGCAGTGAATAATTATGCAAATTCGCCAGAAGAAGGGGAAACATGCTAATGGGCCTTACTGGGTGAGGGTAAGAGATAGGGTACATGGGTAGGAGGAAGTAAGTGATAATGGGCTCAGATGGGCTAGCCCTACATGCTTTACTGCGCATGACTGTGTGATTTCGCAGTGAGAAGGGGACTCTGGCCATCTCTGCCTTCTTCAGCAGTAACCGCCCTGGGACTAAGACCACCTAGATAAGTGAGAGCTGAATAACAACCAGACCATGTCACACAGGCCAGAAACTCCAGTTACCTTTGCCAAAAAATTGTTGTTCCTTGAGGTCTAAAGAGGAATCCCTAAAACAGTATGGCCTTCCATCCAAATGGAGGGAACTTTTGAAAACAAAAACACTACCATGGCTCAGGGTCAGATGTTTGGGAGAAGGAGAAAACTGAGGTGACCTTGGACTTTTGAAACGGGACAGGTGTGGGCCTTTAAAGCTATGTCCCCCTGTCAGAGCCAGGTACCATGGCAACTGCATCCCCTGGAAGAAAAGGCAGGTTATCTGGTGCATTCCCCTACCTAACCTGAAGGCAGCTTCAGAAAGAATGGGGGGGGTTCCCATTTCAGGGCAGGCTAGATTTACCCCCACCTGTCCCTGAGCCTGGGCTCTCTCAACTTGGGGGTTCAGGGTTAGATGAGAGCACAGGTGTGTTTTTCCAGTGCTCTGATCCCTCCTTCTCCACAAACCTCTGACACCCTACAAGCCATCCACAGCTCTGGAACCTGAGCCACACTTTGATTTCTGTTGTCACCTAACCAAGTCCAAAAGACCACCCTCCCCACCCCAAGATGGTGAGACTCAGACCTCTACTGAAGGCGAAGGTAAGCACTCAGCACTGTTTCTGGCAGGGGACTTCTTCCGATGAAAACCCCACGCGGGCTGTCTCCCCTCGTTTCATTTTTCCGAAGGGGCAGAGGCCTCTTTCAGAGATAACAAGATGCAGTGTGTGTGTGATTTACTTTTCTGATCTCTCAGAGATCTAGAAAACTATCTTATACAAGTGTGTTCTGAACCCCAGAACCACTCTTTTTGCATAAATACCTCATCGGGCAGCTTTCTAAGTGTTATTTTCCTGAGCCTCCCTTGGCGCCTTTGTTGGAATTTTCTGGAAGACTTGTTGGGGAAACTTTAGTAAGGGTACCTTTTTCTATTTTCCTTCTGTTTTGGAGGCATACACATTATGCATAACCAAAACAATGGCTCAATTGTGTTTAACTCTGTATTTTGACTGTTGAGGCGAAAACAAAGTTATCAATGTGTATGTGGACGTTTGTAGCAAAGTCTGCCGAATGAGGCTGTCCGTGTCCTTAACAAGCCAAGGGGCAGGAGGCACCCTCTCTTTCCCCTCCCCCAAGAGCAGTAGAGAATTTAAGCACAAGCCTATTTGTGAAAGAATATTTTGCTTAAGTGTAATTCACTTTAGTCTTGGACTTTCTTCCCAAACGTCAGGTGTTCTTTTAGCTTTCAAACTAGCCTGTGTATCCATTAGTCTGACAGATCGCCTGAGCATCGTTAAAGGGGTGTGGTGTTCTTTCTTTGTGGTTCATGTGTCATTCCAGGATCTCATGTACTCACATGGGGCAGGGGGGAGGGGAAACGGGGAACTATAGCAATATTTACAGATGCTTTGGAAACAGCAGTGACCACATCAGCACCGTTGACATTACAACCACTGGCTGTTGGCCCTCGGACACATTGAAGAGAAGAGACAGTGGTTTTCTTTTCTTAGGTGAAACACACATCAATATTTTATCCTACCCTTGGTCGTCTTTCTCCTTTCTCCAGTACTTTTTGTGGAAAGGGTTCACATCATGGGTTTATCTTTCTAACGTATCACAAGCTCCTACTTCCCTCCCCCTCTCCAGTCAGTATATTTTTCAAGAGTTCTTTTGGTAAAGCTGGCTCTCTGAAACTAGAGCTGAGCCAAACCCACCTATGTAAGGAAACGGTGGTGAGGACAACAGAAGCAGGTGTCCATCTTTGGCTGGGTCTTTAAGGAGGAATGGGTTGATACCCTTTCCCAAGAATGGATTTTTCTTGGAGAGTCATTCAGCATGTCTAGTGCTTTCTGTTCATTGCGGTTCCTACCATGGAACAGTCTAGAGTACTGCATTCAATGGTACCCAGGCAAGAGAGAACGGCTTTGGTGCCCAGCCTAAGAGTCCAACACAGCAGGCTCATACTCAGTGACCCAAGCCACCATTTTGGGTTTCAGTAGTGCTACTCTGGGACCTTCAGCCTCTTGAGGTGGGGAGGCTATGACATGCCAGAGTTAGGGACAAGTGACTTGCGTGGGATGTTTTCCCGCATATGGGATTAGACTAAATGATTTCCCTTCCCCTTTCAAACCTTATTCAGGTCGGGACTCATTTCTTTCTGGTGGATCACAGCTGCCCAGATGTTGCAATTGATTTCTTTGTTTCTCTAGAGAAGTCCTTTTCTTTCATCTTCAGAAGTTTTTTTTTTGTTCCTTACTACTTTTTTGCCACCGAAAGAAAACATTGGAACCTATGTCCCCTCTTGATTGTGACTTGCCAGTGTTGACAGTTCAGTCCTTCGTGTTGTAGGTCCCAGCCCACCAGTACTATATCACTGTAGGCACATGATGCAGCACTGTGATCTAATTTAAATAATACTTTTTTATTATTTATACTACTATATATAATATACATCAACACTTTTGCTATATAACCTACGTGGTAAACCCTTTTTAGTTACCTGTCAGACTAGACTTTGGTTTCTATTGCAGTTAACACAGTTACAGAATTGTAATGGTGTCTTCTTTTTATTTTTTTTCTTTGTAATGGAATGTGTAAATCAAAGTATATACATTGTGTGGTGTTCCTGTTTCTTGGGATGTCATGAGGAGTTACACACGGCATTCAGTGTTCTGTATAGACCTGCCCACCTTCGTGAATTCATCTGTTAACCCCTCTTCGTTTGAGAGCGCGCCAGCCATGGTGGCTAACTCCCAGCGTCCTCTCTCCTGCTGGCTATTCTTGAATTAAGCACAGACTTGTCCACTCGGTTGCTTTATCATGAAAAATGGGTGTGACTTGGTCACTCTTCCACCCTTCAGCAAACAAGTGCTAGCTTCACTGACCAAAAATTAAGGAAGGAAAACACAATTGAAAAAAAAAAAAAAAAAGATCCACCTGTTCATGGCCGAAATGGATATGTCTATGGTGCTGCCTCGTGCTGTCGAGCTTCTGGAATCAGACCGCTGTGGAACGATCATTTCTGATTTGCTGTGGGATGCTCACAAGTACCCTTCCTATCTCATTAGTATTGAAATCAAGACTCTTTTATTTGAGATCTCTACAGCAGTGTTTCTCCACTGTGTTTCATTTGCAAAAGCAGAGAACATGGCTTCTCCACCCTTTTGCAAATAATCGATATTCCATATTGGATTCTCAAAAGACTTCGATATGGTGATCCTGTCAAACCTAGAAATTGTATTTTATCTTTTCATACCTGGTTTCCCCCACTTCCCCTGTTTTAGAGGAAACAGCACACTTTCTGTTGTGGATGCATTCACCATTTCTTGAGTATGTGTGTTAAAGCCATCCAAGGCCGTAGCTGGCTCAGCCAGTCCCGCTCCATTATTCCCACTGCCTGTACTGCCATGGTGAACATGGGCGTGGAAAAAGTTCTATCTGTGTGTGTCTGGGAAACAGCTACATGGACTTTTTTTTAACACTCTGATCCTGTAACATTTCTGAGTTTTGTTTTAATTTTACAGAAAACAAAACCACATTGGTAAAGCAGCGAAAAGACCAAGAGGGCTGTGGTTGAATCTTAGGGTCACCCGACCTTTCCAGGCCAACAGATCTACAAGGCCAAATTAATTTACAAGAGTAATAATTTCCTCAGAAGCCAATTTTTTTTCTGTTTTTCTGTATGAAGCTGCCAATATCATGAACAGAAGGGGGGAATCAGAGAGAAAGAAAATGATGTTCGGTGGTGCTTGCATTTGCCCAAAGCAGCGGTGTGGAGATGGCGCCATCAGCTGAGCTCGGGGGACTTGGTGTCGCTTGGGAGGGATCCATACAGCATTTTGCGTTCTTCATGTGTAATCATATTGCCAAAGACAAACTACTTCATCATTTATTGTAAATAACACTTCCCCAGACCTACCATAAAGTTTCTGTGATGTATTGTCTTCCAGTTGCAATAAAAATTACTGAGTTGCATCAATTGAAGATGAGCATTGTGTGTTAATGGAAGCACTGAGCTATAGAAGAAATCGGTGAGAGAGAGAGAGAGAGAGAGAGAGAGAGAGAGAGAGAGAGAGAGAGAGAGAGAGCGCCAGCATCTCCTGTGCAAAGTCAAGGTTGATGTCATCCTTGATAAATGTACACTTTTCGTTGAATGTGTATTGTGTTTGTGTTTGTGTTTGTATACCAGATGTTTGTGGAAGCCAGAAAGGAGCATTAAATCCCCAGGCTCTGGAGTAACGGGAGGTTGTGAGTTGCTGGGTATAGGTGCTGGATCTTCTGGAAGACACTTTACCTTTTGAGACAAGGCCTATCACTGAACCAGAAACTTACCAATTAGCTAGGCTGGCATGTCAATAAGCTCTAGGATCCCTCTGTTTCTGCCTGGGGTTAGAAATGAGCATGACCATGCCCTGTGCCCCCCCCCCTTTTAAATGTGAACGCTGGTGATCTGAATTCACAGGTGTCTAGGCTTGCCCAGTAGACCTTTTACCACCTGAGCCATCTCCCGAGGCCTGAGACATGCTATCCTGTGTTTAACCCAAAGTAGCATATCTGTACAGTTTTCTGTCTGGTTTTAGAGTCTCAACTGCACGCCATACCCATCTTCAGGCATGTCTTCATTTTGATGGGAAATCTCAACTCTTATGTCCCTAACTAGTGTTAGGGACAAGCACAGGGCTCCCATCACCAGCCACAGGACATGGGACTAAGACCTGGTCTTGTTTGGAAGTTGACAAATACTAAAATAAAGGTGCACTTTGGGAGTAGGGTCTGTCCATCTATCCTGTATGCTGAGGGTCTCCAGTGATGACATCATAGCACTAATGCTCATTGGCAGGGGTTTGTGTCACCACTGCTTAAGTGCCCACTCCAGTCCCCTATACACTCATAGCCTGTGAGTCTCTTTTCTGTTGTAATAAACGGAGATCAACTGTATGCAGCCAGGGTGGGGTGGGGAATCACATGGCAAGGCAGGAAGGGAGCGATTAAGGGCTAAATTTGTTCTTCCTAACAACACCTTGTCTTGGGAAATAACCAGGTCCTAGGAGAACTACATTAGTATCTGCTGAGCATGGTACCCCTTAGGTCCTAATTATCTTCCACTAGGTCTCACGTCTTACAGGCTTTCCCACCATCCCAGGACCCATGGTTCCAGCAGAGGAGGCTCTGTAGCATACACCCAAAGCAAGTAACTCTGATAAAGAGGAAGTGATGCTCCCCAAGGATTTCCTGGTCCTGCTCTTGGTGGTTTCGACTTTTAGTGAATTCGGGTCTCCAGGCATGCACAGCAGGTCCTTTACCCTAAGTCCCTCCCTCAGCCCTGAGAGATTCTATCTCCGTTTTTAAACCTGGGCTTCACCAATAGCAGTAACTCTTAACTTCAATCACCACCCCCATTAAGGCACCTTTGTCACCTGGGAATCTCAGGCTGTATCCCTTAGCTCTTACTCTGGGTCACAGTTGTTACCGTAACGGGGACAGTCCATCTGTACCAGACAGATGATAATTCCCAGTCTCCCTCTCCAAGTGTCCACCTCGGATGTCCTGCTTGGCCCATGTTGTTACTTCTTTGGATCACCTTGCTTTCAGGATCACCTTAAAAGTCATGATGTGTCCTCTCGGTGCTAAATCAGTGCTTGAGGGTGGGGGGGGCAGATGTTATTTGGAGGGAGGGTGGAACTCATTTCCCAAGCCAAATATGATGGAATAGGTAAATTGCCACGTCGAGTAATGCTGAGATTAACTACAAGCAGGTAGCCTCAGAAAATAGCACATACAACTGTGTTGCATACGTTTGACTCATGCATGTACATGCACACTTATGTGTGGGTAAGCAGGTATGCCTGCATGTGAATCAGAGGTCCATAGTAGCTCTCCACCTTATATTTTATTACTATTAATTTTATTTATGTGTGTAGGTGTTTTGTCTGTATCTATATTACATTGCATGGAGGCCAGAAGAGGACATTGGATCCTCTAGAATTAGAGTTACAGTTTTGAGCCTCCATTTGGATGCTGGGAATTGAACACAGGTCCTCCAGAAGAGCATCTAGTGCCCTTAATTGCTGAATCATCTCTCCAGCCTTATTATTATTATTTTTTATTATTATTATTGAACAATGTCTCATTGAACCTGGAGCTTACCAATTTAGCTAGGCTGGCTGGCCAGCAAACCTCAGGCATCCTGTACTCCACCTCCTTTTCACTAGAATTGCAAAGCAAACCATTGCATCTGAGGTTTTTTTTTTTTTTTATGTGAGAGTGGGTATTGAACTTAGACCCTCATGCTTGCTTGGCAGGTACTTACAGCCAGCTATCTCCCCTGCTGCCCCACAACCATTTCTGAAATTTTCAAAGCAGCTCTAAATGAGACGCACTTGGACTATCAGAATATCCAAGAAAATTCTCAAAAGTATACCACCTGCAGGCTGCTGCTTTTCTCAAATTGATTCCTGTTTCATAACATGCATCCTGGCCAGTTTCCCCTCCCTCCACTTCTCCCAGACCCCCACCTCCCCTTTACCCTAGATCCATGCCTCCCCCATTTCAGAAAAGAGCAGGCCTCCAGGAGACAGCAGTCAAATAGGACAAAACGAGTTACAGTAAGACAAGGCAAAAGCTCTTGTTGAGCTGGGGAAGGCAACTTGATAGGGAGAAAAGAGTCCCAAGAGCAGGCAAAAAAGTCAGAGATACGCTTGCTCCCACTGTTAGGAATCTCACAAAAACATCAAGCTATCAGCCATAACGTATATACAGAGAACCTGGTGCAGACCCATGCAGGTCCCATCCGTCAGTCTCTCTGAGCCCATATGAGCCCTGCTTAGTTGATTAGATAGAACCTGCTCTCCTGGTGTCCTCCATCTCCTCTGACTCCTACAGTCAGGTTAGAGTTAGGGTTAATATTTCCTCTCCCTCTTTGGAGGCAATTCCAATCCTGTAAATGAGGCAATGCCATCCTGTAAATTCTCAGAGCAATGAAACACCCCCATAAACTTGTCCCTCTAGGAAGTTAGGGAACACTGACTATTTGGGGTTAGCATGCCAGAATCTCATTCATTAGTGGAATTAACCAGACAAATTGCTCCACCACCTAAGAATAGCCATGCATTTCCACCCATAGAAATAAGAAAGAGCTGTCAATCTGTCAGTGCTATCTGTGTTCACATCAGTGAGGTTTCTATGCTGGGTGGACTTAAGCTGCAGGCTCAGCCCCTGATGGTGCCTGTCAGTAAATTCCTTTAAGTTTCAGCTTTGCAACCATACATGTGAGTGCATGTATGCATGTGTGCACACTCACACAGTACCTCAGGGATCTCAGAGGCCTTTTGGAGCCCTGATGTTGTGTCTTGGAAGGGTGTCTATAAGGGTCACTGTTATCCTTGGCCACTTTCTCTTCTCATGACCCAGAAAGTATCATAAACTAAGAATTTGCAACATCCTAGAAGGTTCTGGATAGCTGAGGGCATTTTGGAGGGAGCCTGGTTGACTAGAAGACTTTTATTTAGGAGTTGAAAGCCTGTGTTCTGCCCCCATCACTTCTCAGATGCCCCGTATACGATCAATTGTAAGTATATGAGTGTTGTTGGAGACAGTCTCATGTAACCTGGGCCAGCCTTGAACTTGCACAATGTCTGCTTCTCCCCACCCCCATCCCGGAGGGCCAGGATTACAAGCATTAACTCATCATACCCAGCTACTGTGAATTTTGACCTTTCCCCCCCCCAATCTTTTTTTTTTTTTTTTTTAATTTTACTTGCTTTGGTGTTTTTGCCGTATGTATGTCTGTGTGAGGGTGTCAGATCTTGGACTTACAGACAGTTGTTAGCTGCCATGTGGGTGCTGGGAATTGAACCTGTAACCTCTGAAAGAATAATCAGTGCTCTTAACCGATAGCCCCATCCTTTTTTCTTTTTTTTTTTTTTTTTTTTTTTGAGACAGGGTTTCTCTGTGTAGCTTTGGAGCCTATCCTGGCACTCGCTCTGGAGACCAGGCTGGCCTGGAACTCACAGAGATATGCCTGCCTCTGTCTCCGAGTGCTGGGATTAAAGGCGTGTGCCACCAACACCCGGCCTGTCCCATCATTTTAAAGGACTTTTTAAAAAACAAATTTCAGAAAGGACAGGTGTTTGTTTGTTTGTTTGTTTGTTTTTTTACTCAAGCAGAAGTGAATGTACCAGTGTGTGGAACCTTTTTGCCCCTGTACATGAAGTAGCCTGCCCCAAAGCGATAGGTATGAATAGCTCAGAGCAGCCATACCTTAATTTGAAATCATTCCTGGGCATGTGTGGATAAAGCACCCTAATGACTTGAGAACTGTTCTTTGTTACTCCATAATAAAGTGCTTTGGGAGCAGACAGCTAAATCTCCCTCAAATGCAGCAACACATTTGAGGGGGATTGAGGGCTCTACTTTTCTCCCCATCTGCTACACATTTCCATACCAACTTGTAAAAATACGTAATATGGGAAGTACTGTATGATGGAGAAAAATCTGAAAATATGAGAGTGGCTGCCTTTGTAAATCCCCTGAGACACAGTTTCTTCATTAAATGGACTCACTCTGTTCACATAAAAAAGTTAGGATGATGTGTACATTTTTTACATCAGTCATAAATATTTTCAACAAAGCAGGGACAAGAGGCCTTTGAATCCAAACTCCCCAACTCATAGACCAGGAATCTGAGGCACATAAAGTTAAGGGTTTTGCTCCCAAACAACCCCACTGACTAATGGCAGAATATGACTTAAAAGAGTGGAAATGTTCTGCCCTTCCAGTCATATTCACTTATTTAGTGTGTAATTATAGCCACTGTGTAGTAGGTAGAATGTGCTCACCTCACGTGATGTCCTGTGCATTTTACATTTGGTGAAGATGATGAGTTTTGGAAATGACACAAAAATGCCACCTTGCTGCTCAGTGTCTGAATTGCCTCCAGTGTCTCCACACACGCGCTATTACTATGGACATCTTCAGAGAGGATT